GTTTTCTATCCCTACTTCAGTGATTTCTGCTTTTATATTTGTTAGAATCCTTTTTCTATTTACTTTGAGTCTCGTTTACTTTTTCTAGTTTATAAAGAGAGATTTAGGTCATCAAGACCTTTCTTATCTAAGGTGTTTAAAGCTTTTAAAAAATATTAATCTTGTGCTGGATGTGGGGGCGTATGCCTATTATTCTAGCTGCTGGTGAGGCTCAGGCAGGAGGATCTCTTGAGCCCAGGCTTTTGGGGCCAGCCAGTCTCCTCAAAGAAAATAAAAACCAGCCAAACAAAACCCTTAATTTTCCATCAAAGTACCACACTAGATGCATCCTACAAACTTGGAAATGTCTCATTTTCTTACTTTCTCAGTTTTACTTCTTCTTTGGTCTAATTTTATTTAGAATTAAGTTGTTTTGGAAAATAATACACCTTTGTAATTTCTATTTTAATTCTACCACTGTCAGGGAACATACTTTGTGCAATTTGAATTTTAAAAATTTATTGAGACTTGCTGTATGGCCCAGACTATCATCTAGCTTGGTAGTGTTCCATATGCAATGGAAAAGATGGTGCAAGACGCCATTATGGGTGAATGGTTGATGATAGTGTTCTTGAAGCCTCATATAGCTTTACTGTCTCCCTGTTTCATTCAGTCTCTGTGACACAATTATGTGTATGCTTTGGTCTTTCTGTGTTTCATCTGGCACTTTTTGTTATTATATATTTAAACCTACTAATCTTTTATTTAGTAATGTCTCATTTACATGAATCCAACCCAGTCTATTTTTCATCTCATTGTAGTTTTTAATCACTGGGATGACTCTGGTCTTTTAAAAATATCTCCCTTTCTCTCTATTGGCATACTGAGTCCTTCCTCTAGTGTCTGTATTGATTATTCATAGGATTAGAACATATGAAGTATGTTTGTTTATATATTATGTCATTCTCTGATAGATCATCTGTGTCATTTCTGTTGACTGAATTTGTTCTTCAACATAGGATTGTATTTTCATGTTTCTTTGTACATCTGGTGATTTTTAAATGGCCCAGATAATATTTGAAAATAATATTTTATTATTATTATTTTTGGTACCAGAAATTGAACCCAGGGATGCTTAACCACTGAGCCACATCCCCAGCCCTTTTATATATTTTATTTAGAGACAAAGTTTCACTGAGTTGCTTAGGGTCTCACTAAATTGCTGAGATTGGCTTTGAACTCACAATTTTCCTGCCTCATCCTTCAAACTGCTGGGATTAGAGGCATGTGCCACCATGCCCAGCTAACTTTTTTTAAATGTTTAAATTTTAAGTTGCTAGGTACTGATAGTATCTATTTCTATACACATACATACATATAGTATGTATCTCACATGTATATGTGTGTATATATATATTTTATTATATATGCAAATATTTTTGAGGTTTGTACTTTGACACAGTTAAGACCCTTAAACATTTTAATCTTTTTCTGGCTTAAAGTTAGAAACTGCTCAGACCTTAGGGCTAATTTAACCCCACAATAACCTTTCACATACTCTTTCAGGTGTTCCCACCGTCACATGGTAGCACTACCTTGGCTGTAGATTTTTGTTATTTTGCGGTGTTTTGGGCATTGGAGATTGAATCCAGAAGTGCTTTACCACTGAGCCACATCTCCAGCCCTTTTTGAGACAGGATCTTGCTAAGTTACTTACGGTCTACTACGTTCCTGAGGCTGGCCTCAAACCTGTGATCCTCCTGCCTCAGCCTCCTGAGTTGTTGGGATTATAGATGTGCATAACTGTGCCCAGTCTGGCTGCTAATGTGAATTATTTCCAGCCTATGTAAGCCCCATTAATTGATCTATCTGCTCTGTCATGAGTTCTTACCATGGTCTTGGGGAGTTTACATAGCTGATGATGCTCAGTTTACGACTTGAGGAGAACATTCTATTGATCAAGAGCTCTTTCTTTCCTAGTACTCACAAATTCTAGTTGTCTTGACTTCTCAAGTTCTCACTTGTTCCCTCAACTCAAGGAGACTGAAGTTGTTTTGGTTCCTTGCCCTGTGGTGTGGCCTGCAAACACTTTTCAGGAAGCTTGGGGCAGTTGTAAGTCTCACATGTACCTTTTTTTTTTTTTTTTTTTTTTTTGAGATATCTGTCCTAACTGCCTCTTTTCCAATATCTAGAAAAACTTCAAACATTTTGTCTGATGTTAGTGATTAACACAGAGAAAACTCAGTCCAGTCCCTGTTGCTTTATCTTGATGAGAAGTAAAAATGGCTTGCTAAACTTTGAACATCTTGCAATTTTTCTACCTAGTAATCATTGAGGTAGGCTCTGTCCCTGTCTTGGAAAGAATGTATCCTCCCCACCTAACTCTGCCTGAAGAAGTTAGTTAGGAAATCTTTTTTTTTTTTTTTTCCCCCACAGAACAACCCCTTTTCATTTTCTTTTTTACATAACTGACAGGACAGAAAATCCTACTCGCCTGATTTTCATAAGGTTCCATTCAATATCTCAAAAGCCACGGCAACATTTTTAAAGCCAAACTAATCTCACTAAAAAAGGGAAGACATAATTCTTGAGGCAAAAATACTTGGAATTGAAGAAAACCTGATTTTTATTTTCGGTCAAAAATCAGTGGTTAGGAGCTCAAAACTCTTTGCATGTTTCAGAGGGGGAGCTCCTTAACTCTCCCTGAACTCTCAGAATAGCACAAAATTCCCCAAAGCAGCTCACAGTTTGGTCTAGTTAGCTTGTGGTCCCTGCCTGCTGGTTGTAACCTGCTTCTTTTGAAAAGCTTACTGAGGATGTGGGCAAAGAAATTGAGGTAGGTGATAGAGAAGCACCTGAACTATGCACGCCTACTCTTTGTATTAGAAAATAGAAAAGCCCTTTGCTGCTGTGGTGAGCCAGCCACTCTTCTCCAAATGGAGAAGGGGTCCTTGCAGCAGAAGGGTGTGTAGCTTCATGTCACTCTGCTGCCAGGTAACTCTGCAGTGAGTTAGGATAGTCCTAAATAAAGGAAAGTAAGAGCATACTCTTAATCTGATTCCTTCAGTGGTCATGGTAATGAATGTTTTAGTCTTTGGGGAAAATGAGGAAGATCAAATCAAACTGGTTTCATATCATTTTTAGAATTACTTTTGCATAATATGGACTTTTTTTTGAGAGAAGGGGAAATAAAATCAGTACCTATAAGCTATTTAAAGAATGTCAGAAGCTTCAGGATGATTGAGAAGGACCAACTCTCATTTAGACTTAAAAAAAAAAAAAAAGGCTGAAGCTTATTTATAAGTACATGAAAGAGGCAAGAAATCTTTTAGCACTAAAATCCGGCTGGACTATGAGAAAAGGCACTTTGATATTAATTTGAATCTTTGGTGTTCTTTTATGTCTCATGGCCTAGCCATGCCTGAAAACAGCTTTGGATTTGTTATCAGAGTGGTATGATATGCAGATGGCGTAGCTCTGCTACCAAAAATGTTTTACAAACCCTTTAGCTACCAATCAGTATTCTTCTAGCCACAACTGCCCTTCGTGAAATTATTCACAGTGCTATTTTTAATATATTTGTTGTAATCTTTTGAATAGTGCTTTGTATTCAATTGAGTGCTTCCACAAATTTTCATGTATCAAAGAAGGGGTCACACTTCTCTTGCAAATGAGGAAATATAGAAGTTACAGCATCAAGAAAGATTGAATGACTTGGCCAGTGTCCCAAATGCAAGGACCTAGACAACAGAAAAGGCTAATCATTTCAAATTCAGTGTTTTTCTGCTATAATGTGCTGTCTCCCTGGAGGATTGGTGGAGATACTGGAAGTCTTCAGGCTGTTTCATGATTTTTTGTTTTGCTTTACTCAGTACCAACTATACCAAGTAGTTTGTACACAGCTGAGTATTAATATTTTCCCAAAAGGCAGCAGGGTCTAGAACATGAGACTGCTCAGTCTGGCACCTAGAGAGGTTAAAAGAATGGTGGTATGGTTTCCTCAAAGCTCCTCCACTACTGCTGGGTATCATTTGGTACTAAATTTGCTAGTACAACTTTTTTCACAAAGAAGCATAAATCAATTCAGGTTAATGTAGAGAAGGATAAGATGTTGCTAAGAAATGTTCCTGGGAAAAGTTCCTCACAACTTCAACTCTGGGAGGTTGCCTGACTTTACATTGTTACCTTAGTCATAAAAAGCAAAGGGCTTCAGACTTTCAAAACAATGACTTGAGAGCTTGTAGAGTGCTTTCATAGCTGAGGTTTAAGTGCAAAGGTTGTTAAACTACGGTTTAAACAGTAATGACATTTTATATAACCAAATCACTGAAGGGGATTTATACATTCTTTTTTGAGGCACTGGGGAGCAAATTCAGGGCCTCATGTGTGTGCCAAACAAGTGAGCTACCACTTTTAGGATGCAGAGCATTCAGCCCCCTTTCCCCCCAAAATACTAAAAACTAATTCTCAAATGGCCTATATCTTCTGAACTAATTTCTAATCCCCTCTCCCCTCACCATTTTCAGATTGAAACAAATGATTATAAATTAGGTATTACTCATTTTCTATGTAATTGACTTTTATAACTAGTCTTCTTAATACAACACCAGTAGTGCTGAGTTTAATAAAAATACACAATGATGTTAAAGGGCAGGCAGGAAATGTGGATGATCTGAATCTCATACGCTAAAGATAATTAAGGTAGGTTCACAATTGTTCTAGTTGCACTGAGTTCAGAATATCAAAAGTGGCGTTATGATAATCTCTGTGAAACCTTTTATTAACCACAAACCAGGCTTCATATTTTATGGTAGATGTCCCATGGGTATACCTGTTTTACACTGTAATGACTAAATTTTCCTCTTGAGACGATAAAGCAGGTAATATTCCAATTAAACTTGGTAAACCAAAATATAACATAGTATTTGACATTTTTTTGATGTGACCAAAACCTCAGAGAAAAAGAAAAAGTACATCAATATTTTACTTTAATGTCATTTTTTTTTAAACTTTTCACAAAGGATTTGCTGTAAGTCTTCAAGTCATCTTGTCTAATCCAAAAGCTGTATTTAAGCGTCGTGGGTCCCAGCCAGGGATGCAAGAATCTGACTTTCTAAAACAGATAACAACAGTGGAAGAACTGGAACCAAAAGCAAATAACTGCACCAAGGTACTCATTTCACTTGTGCTGCTTGGCCTTGAGTATCAGCGCTGAGAATGTGGCTGCCCAAAATATTTCCCTCCCCTTTAGGTTCTTGTGTGGCACACTCGGACAGAGAAGGTTAATCTAGCCAACGAGCCCAAGTACCATCTGGACACAGTGAAAATTGAGGTGTAAGATGAAGCAAAAACTGGCACAATCAACCTGGCCAGTGATGTGGAAGAGGATGACTGGTGTTTAGGATGCAGAGCATTCAGGTATTGTTTATTTTACTTCAGTACAACAGCCTTTATTGTCATCTGATGGACATCTGTCTAAACAGAGCTTGTCAATTAATGTAACTAATTTGATGGTACAAAATTTATGTTTTGTCTTCATTTTTTCTGCATGTTTTCTCTCCAACTTAACTGGAGAATTTTTGTACAGTACAGCTAATGATGCAAAATACCAATCTCAATATCTTATTTAATTTTTCTGTTCCCCCCTCATTTGGCCTGATAATTGGTAGAACTGAATAGGTGTAATACTTGCCCATGACAAGTATTTTGTCAATTGAACATTACCAATTCCTAACTTCACATGAAGTAAATTTTGGAAGGCTTGTGGCAGTATTCATTATAGGAGGAAAAAAAAAAAGTCCACAAATAAAAAGGTCTATGGATTTATCTGTTTAATATATAGGGAAATAACATTTTGTCAATACTAGGCACCATAAAATGTAAACACAATTACTGTCATAAACCTGGATATACCTTCAAGGATTAAAAGTGGCTTTTAGTTACCCTGTTTGCATATAGTGCAGAAAAAGGTCTTCATGTTAGCACTATGTACATAAGAAGAGATCCAAATTATAGAAGGCAGGTAAAATTCAAATTCTTTAAACATTCATTAAATTAAGTTTTATAGTAACATCCAGGTTTATCTTCCTTTCACTAACCACGTTCCCTGTTAAGCACATCATAACAACAGCACAGTGAAGTGAATGATGAAATAAAAGAATTTTGATACACTAGAAAACAGTGCTCAGTGATACATTTACATTCTATTTATATGATTAAACATTTGATCATACAGTACCTTCCTACAGGATTACTGGCTAATTTGGGGGTGGGGTTTATACTGTTAGAGGTATTACTAACATGATAACTACTTCCCTTATATGCAAACATTAGAGCTATAATTTTATTGAGTAAAACTGATTATGCAAGTTGACTGAGCAGCTTCTCAAATAATGAGGTTTTATGAGATCATGGGAAACATGAGCAAAGCTGCCCCTGACATAAAATGGTTCTTCAACCTGCTTTTCACCACATCAAATTTAATCAGTAACAGACCAACACGGTCAATCAGGTAATTCCTAATATGAACAAATGGGGGGAAAAGAAAAAAAAATATATGTACATGAATAAACAGGGGAACTAGATGCGTTTTAGCAAGGAATGTCAGGTGTTAATTCTGGATGAAACTTGTATTGCAGTTTTCATTTCCACAGTTGTGTGCTCAGAGTCTGACCCGATGAGCTTCCAGACCATCCTGCTGTTGTGTTGGGGGGCTGGCCAAAACCTGCTGCAGGGTTTGCACTATTGATACTCATGCCAGCCATTTGCTGATTCATCTGTGAAACACACAAAAGACTTAGTTTAAGAGGATTACTTCATTTTCAGTTCTTGCTTCTTTAGCCACAGTTGGGTATTTTTTCATCAATGTGAAAATTAGTTAAAGCACTTAGTCTTTCACCTAACATATACATATTTCTTTACAGAAAGCAAATACATACTTTGTTCCCTTGTTATTTTCTTCCACTTTTTAGTATCATTTTCATTCATTTTCTAGATCCAATTTCTTTTTTTTTAATATTTTAATTTTTTAGTTGTAGTTGGACACAATACCTTTATTTTATTTGTTACATGGTGCTGAGGATACAACTCAGGGCCTCACATGTGCTCTACCACTGAGCTACAACCCCAGCCCTAGATTAAATTTCTTATTAACCCTAACTGAATGGGGAGAGAACAATCTTTGAATTTGCATATGGGATTATATTATAAAATAAGTCCATTACTCTTTATTTTGAGATACTGTACTAAGAACTAAGAAAATTTCATAAAGTAAAATATTCTAAAATTATCCTATAAACCTAGCATGATGGCTATAATTCTCTATTAAAATCTTAAATGGGTCTTTATACTTTTAAATATTAAAGTTCATAAAGACCATTTTTCCTCTTTGTTCTAACAACACTAACAGTTAAAATTTGCAGTATGAAATTTCTTCCAGATTGGAGTCAAGTATATTTATAAGCAAGCCTCTTAGCCCTATGGTTCTCTTACTCTCAGGATTGGTGATAAGAGAAGGAAAGGCGAAATTTACCATCATGTACAGAGTGAATTCGAAACCTGTGCTCAGGGTAAGATTGTATTCTATTTGCAATTTCTGAAAGACAAGAACAACTACATTGCTGATCAGACATAAGTGTCTGAAGGGCAGGCAGATTACATTTTCATACCTACTGAAGGATATTTTAACCACTTTATCATTGGCCAATAAATTTCACTGACAGTGCAAAAGGGCGATGCTATTCTCCAGCACACTATCTGAGAGTTAGGCCAACATTAACACCTTATGGGTTAATCTGCATTTAAATCCGAGCTGAATGTGTTAGCACTTTGGCCACATAAAGCTGTTACTGATATTTAGTACTTGAGATTCCTAGAAGGTAGAGACTTCTGTGAATCACGAGTGTAAATAAATAAATAAATTGAAACATTCATATGATATACAATAATTCTGCTACAATCATTAGAATCAAGACTATTCCCTGAATGTTCTCAAGGTAAAACTCTGATCACTTAGATTTATGTTCCTCTTCCCCATTTGGTGGTCTTGATTTCTAAGTCTAGGAGCTTTTGTCTATGGAGCTAAATTCAGAACACAGTGCCTAAGATAGAAATGTTCTTTTGGCTCTAAACAAACTTAGGTAGAAAAAGAATTTTATAATATGAAGGAATGTCTGAGACAAGTACAGACTTTTCATACTTATAGGAATTCTTGAGCCAGTGGATACACTTTAAATATAAAGTCATTACAGATCATATAAAAAAGGAAATACAATTTTACAAGGATTACTGAACAAAAAAAGTTTCTATAAATCCATGGGCAGTAGTCACAGGACTTGAAGACAGCTTTGATCCCTCATAAAATTGTACTTTGATAATATGAGGCTGTATTTTTCTCATCTGTGAAAGTTAAGCAAAAAAGATCCAAAAATTTGCCGGTACAATGGCACACACCTGTAATCCCAGTAGTTCAGGAGGCTGAGGTAGGAGGATCATGAGTTCAAAGCTAGTCTAAGCAACTCTGCATCACCCTATCTCTAAATAAAATATTTTAACAGGGTTGGGGATGTGGCTCAGTAGTTAAGTAGTGCCCCTGGGTTCAATTCTCAGTACTAAATAAATAAATAACTGGTAAAGATAGGTTGGTCTAAGTAGACTTCAAAAACATCCTACTAGGGAGCCAGGAAAATCCTGACGCTAACCTCAAAGGTGGCAGACAAGAAGTCTCTCATCATGCCTCAGATAAATTTCTAGCTATTATAAATAGATTAGGCATTTTTACCATGACAGTAGTGTTATAATCTGAAATAAAGAAAAAAGGAACCTAACAGTTCTTTACAAAATAGGGACAATGACAAAGCATTTATCTCTCTGATGCAACTTTTGATCTTATATTATCCCTAGTCAATTTCCTTGATAGAGTAAATGACTCCTACCTGTGAGAGGCTCCACTGAGGCTGTTGAGCTTGTGGGAGGCCAAACTTACTCTGAGGTGCACCCATCTGTCCTACCATTCCTCCTTGAGGAGCAACAACATTTTGAGGAAGTGGCATCACACCAGTTTGTGCATTTCCCATAAACCCATTAGGCATGGGCATGCCCACCATCATGCCTGTACTCTGTCCCATCACATTTCCTAGAAGGCTGGGCGCTGCAGGCACAGGTACACCCATTGATGGAAAACCTTGAAATGCAGCCGGTGCTTGTGAGGTAAATGGTATATTTGTGGGTCCCATAAACACACCTGTAACACAAGAACCATGAAGAGAAAAAGAGGGCTATTGTATATAGTTACACTCACCTCTATAGACACAGAAAAAGGATTACCATTTTCTGATATACCTACAGCAAAAATTTTCACTCTGATCTGGCTGTTTTTCCTCCTACGAACAGCCCAAACCTAAACATTCAGAGCTGTTTATTTCTAGAATAAGCAAATCAGTTATTAACCTGAGAAAATTTAATTAGAAAATAAAACTCTCAGGCAATAGCCACATTAAATACCTCCACTGTAAAGACCAAATTACTCAGCATGAGAGTATCTGCTTTCTCTGCTGACTTGCACCACATGTCTCCCAGTACCAAACAGGCAAATGAGAGTTGACTATATTTGGCTTTATAACGAAGTAGTTGGATTGTTATACAATTTCAGCCCATATGTGAAATGCAACTCACTATTTAAGAGGAAATGGTCTAGACAGATTAAAACTGAATAAATTTTATGCTAGTTTTTCACTGTAATGACAAAACATTTCAAAGTGTTTGGAATCATGTAATAATTCAGACTGCTTATTGTTTACTTACAGTAGTACACAGTCATAAACTTCCTGTAAATAAAATTTCAATAATTCTTCAAAGATAATCCATGTCCTATAAACTTGTGAAAAAATATTAAGTGATACATGAACAGCTTGTTAAATTCTAACTGAATAAAGTTTTGTGAATTCTGTACTTGCCTTTTAATCACTGCAACAAAAAAAAAGCACCTACTACCATAGGAAAATAGGGAAGAAATATAATAGAAGTAAAAAGGATGTATTTCTAGTAATGTTACTGTGATGTATTGAAAGCAGATTTCAAAATTAATTACCAGGAGTGCTTTGCTGTTGAACTGTTCCTGTACCATACAGAGATAAGATGGAGTCTTTGGAGAGTTGCTTCTTTGCTACTTCTTCTGATTTTGTAGTTGGCTCAGTGAACAGATCCAGATCCCCAGATGTTACTGCAGACAGGGTGGCAGCTGCTGGTACAGAGGACGTCCCCTAAGATAAACACCAAATTAAGCTGATGAATTCTGTATAGTAAAGCTTAGCTTGTCTGTTACTTAAAATCCAAATAAAGTTATGAAATCAGGAATTAATTATAGAAGGCAAAGTGGTAACATTCAAGAGGATCATTCACAAGGCCTGCATGCAAAAACATGTAAAGGTAACAATGTTTCTTAATTTGAATCTGTTCTTGTAAAAGGGGGAGACTGAAGTTCTTTCATAATAAACTGCATTTACCAACTAGGTGGATGGAGAGTTCTTGATCATTGTGTTACACAACGAGTCCAACAATAGTTACATGGATATTGTCTGAGGACCACCACTATTTCAAAGAACTGATATTCCTTGGGATACAGAACATTTCTACCCCTAGCAGACTGTAAGATGGTCCTGCAATGGTTCACTAAAAGGTTTTACATTTTCAAAAGCTATATTGTAAGATTTTTACATAGTCAATTTATACCTAAGTATATGAGTTAAATTATAGCAAAACTTTGACCACCTATAACCTGCACTCCATTTGGAGGCAAATGAACATTCACAAACATGTCGATATTTAATGTACAAAATTTTCAATAATATCCTGAACATACAGTATTATACAATTATGACCAATAATCTTGTCTGTGATCTTTGTATTCAAAAACTACTTAATTACATCACATTTGTTTATATGCATTTTCAATATAAAGAGTTTCGAAGAATTGTCTGAAGACTTATAATTTGAGAAAAATCTTTACTAGCTTTTATAAGGTGAACAGCAAGTTAATGTCCTGGTTAAGGTACCATGTAATAAATAACCAAATATTCTATTCACAAAATAGGTAGAACAATATTTTAAATCTATTATCACTAGTTAAGCAGGAATTAAGAGATACAAAGAAAAAGGCACCTTATTTTGCAAAAACTCTGTAATATGTAAGAAATCAGCCCTAACAGAATGCCAAACATACCAACGCCCTTGAAAATAACATATATTAGCTAATAATAAAAAAGCAAAGATCACAGAGGCTAACAGCATGGGTTACAGCCAGCTTGGCAATACTAGAACCTTACTGTTAATGTTTACATGATCTAAACATGTTAAGTTTCTTCTGAAGATAAGTAACATGGAACATCTACCTCAATGTGGACACAGTCTAAAAATGGCCAATATAAACAGCATAGCTAATAAGCACTCAAATGTCCTTTTCTTGGCATTTCATTTGCCAGCACTACATCCCCAGTATAAAAGGAGATTAGGTTTGCTTATCAATAACATTTCAGTAAGTTGCAGAGGCCTCTAAACAACGGCTTTCTGGATGTCTGGAATTCCAGGGCTAAGCTAAGGATAGACTTCAGCCCTTGTATAAGTCTAGATACTATTGGTGTGTATATGTTTGTGATAGATAGGAAAGGGGCTTCTGTGTTACTGCTAGGGCTTGAACTGTTCCCTTAACTCCTAACATGTGTATATCATCAGTTGAGGTCAGTTGAGTATTTGTAGGCCCCAGACAGGTAAAGCAGATGATAAAAAAATCAATCTACTTCATATTCATGAGTGGGAAAATCTTTTTCTAGAATTTACACATACTTAGAAAATAATACCAAGAGTGAAAGAATAGGGTTCAGAGTAACTCATAATCTTGGCATTCAAACTAGGTTAAGCTCAATATCATACAATTAAAAACCTACCAAAATTAATAAATAACACAATACCAGTATATATGTAAAATCTTGTACTTGATTTTCAAAGGTATTATTTTGAAAATGTGCCTAGGTTTTAATTTTTACATGTAATTTAGATGAAAGGCAATTCTGTTCACCAAATATTCCCCCAAAAGAATCAGATGTGATAAAAAAAATTAATCCTGTTATCCTATCAGGTAAGAATGCATGAAGCCAGACCTGCCTCTCTTACAGCAAGCAGCTATGCCCCACACTCCTTTCTTACCATGCTACTTGTACTTAAGATTTAAATGGTGCCAGCATTGTTCTGCTTGCTGCTATGATACTGAACAGAACATGTGAAGTACACTGAAGCAAAGCAACTTGTACCTCAGTGGAATCTGAAGAAGTCTAGCAGACATAACTACTTCACTACAGAAAACCAGACCAAAATAAATCGCTTTTCATGTGCAGATTGTCAAATATACTAAATGCTTCTTTCCGAAAAAGTATTTAAACAATTTTTTGTTTCATGTACACCGATGCCTGCACAAATTCAAAAAGTAATATTAACTGAAAGAATAATTCTTTGTCCTTCTTTTTATGTGTGTTCCAATAGTATGAGAAAGGCAAAGCCATAAAATGTTACTAAGAAATATCAACATGTTCAACTCTAGTGGTAAGTACACAATAACTATCATAACAAAAATGTGTAGTAAAAATGTCTTAAGTTTTCTTAATGACAGACTTTTTATTAAAACTATATCCATACAATTCAGATTTGGCTCAGGTTTTTCTTTTGGGTAGTGTGGTGGTAACTGGGAATCTAACCCAGAAGTGCTTTACTGTTAAGCTACATCCCCAACCCTTTTTAAAAATTCTTAAATTTTGAGACAGGGTCTTACTAAATTGCTAAGGCTGGCCTTGAACTCTCGATCAGCCTCCTGAGTCACTAGGATTATAGACATGCACTACCACACCTGGCTTGGCTCAGTTTTTACACAGAAAGGAAGCATTTGTCTCAAAAATAATGCTGTTCTGAAACAAAATAGATTTAAAGTTTATTTTAAAGAGTTGCTTGTATCCTAAAAGTTCATATATTTTCCCTATAGAAATTCTACGTAATGTTAAGAAGGCACTTCAAAATTTCTTCACCATTAATACTTTAAAAAATCTTGATCATTAATATTACTACTCTTAATTTTTTTTATAGTTGGTTGTTCAAAACATTACATAGTTCTTGATATATCATATTTCACATTTTGATTCAAGTGGGTTATGAACTCCCATTTTACCCCGTATATAGCTTGCAGAATCACATCAGTTACACTCCCATTGATTTACATATAGACATACTCATGTCTGTTGTTATCTGCTGCCTTTCCTATCCTCTACTATCCCTACTCTTAATTTTTTTAAAAAAATATTTTTTTAGTTGTAGTTGGACACAATACCTTTATTGTGCTGAGGATCGAACCCAGCACCTTACACATGCTAGGTGAGCGATCTACCTCTGAGCCACAACCCCAGCCCCTTAATATTGTTTTAATCATAAAAAAAATAAGAAGGTAGGTTTTAAGGCATAATTTATTTTTAGAAAAAATAATATGTGGCTGGGGTTGTTTGTGCCTCAGTGGTAGAGCCTGGCATGTGTTGGGCACTGGGTATGATCCTCAGCACCACATAGAAATAATGAATGAATGAATGAATACATAATTAAATTAAAAAAGAATATATTTGCTGGAAATTCTTATCCAAGTCAAAATTTACAAACACCTACAGTTTAGAAACCTCTGAAATAAGAGATCTTGCTGATCTCAAGTCAGGATGAGCTACCCTGAGTTTTCCCAATTGTTCATTTTAAAGGCTGTTGATTCCCCAGAGCAAGAGTTAGAACTTTAAATACAGTAACTATTTTATGCTTTATGGGTCAGTCATACAGTCTCTACTGTAACTACTTCAACTCTGCTTTTGTACTAACAAAGCAACCAAAGACAATACATAAACCCAGGGGATCAACTGTGTTCCAATAAAATTTTATCTGTAAAAACAAGCTGCAGGGTTAGTTTGCTAAGCCTGGGCCTAAAGAACAGAAGGCTTTCAAATCAGTGACTGCTCAGAAACAATTATTTTAAAATTCTTGAAATATTTCACAAAGGAAATTAGCAGTAACCACATAAAACCACATGTTTACCATGTACCTGAGCAGGGGGCATGACAGTTGCAGGTAAAGGATTGGAAATCATTGGTCCAAAGATGTCCAGATCATCATTCAGGGCTGGCACTGTGGTTGTGTTCCCATTGGTTACTGGTGCCTCAGCAGGGCCATCTGAAAAAAATAGACTTCTATCAATGTAGAATCTCTTAAATTTCTTGAAACATGGCATTAACTTTAGAAATAAGTGATTTAAAAAAGAATTCAAATACATGTCCCTATTTTACCATAGGATTTACCCCCCCCCAAAAAAGCCATTTTTAGTTTTCTTTATTCTCCCAGTGAATAAAGAATATTTCACTGGATTGTTGGCATAGATCCAAACAAATGTCCTATTTACAATATTCTGCATGCTGATTTTCTGGAGATCACATCATTTTTATCTACATTCAAAATAAATTGTGTGTATAACGATTACAATAAATAAATTCTGATGATTTAAAATGGTTAAAATGTTGCATTTTAAAGTCACAATAAGGAAAAAAACTGGATAGAAAAACCAAAACACATACTTTAAATTGATCCTACCAAAAACATTTATAAAACTTTGAAATAAATCCTTTATTTAAGCACAGCCATTATTAGTGATGGCAGCTAATGACAGAAACTCCAACAGATCTTCCTACTGAAAAATTGAAATTAACAAAAATTTAAATGTCAATAATTATATAATTTACATAATTTAAATAATTTTATATCTCCTTTTCATGTGCTTGAACAAAAATTTGCAAGGTATAAGGGGTAGGATTTGAAGTGCAGTGGAGAGTTTGTCACAGCATTCCAGGAAATGGAATAGCCCCCATTCAGTTTTCTTTGGGTAT